AAAGAAAGAAAGAAAGAAAGAAAGAAAGAAAGAAAGAAAGAAAGAAAGAAAGAAAGAAAGAAAGAAAGAATTTGCAAGGCAGATTTCAATACAGCACGAAACAAGTACAGTAGATGACCCAATCAACTTGCTAAACCTAATCTATCTTGCTAAATCAACAATCAACTTGCTAAAACCAACTATTTTCTATCAAGATGGGAGGGAAATGCTTTACAGGCATCAGATAAGTGAGATCACAAGTACCTTTCATTACTGGGAGCAATCAAAGGTTTTTTTTTTTTTTTAAGATTCCTCTGGTGCTTGGACAAGATCCAAGGAACTTGTGCAAACCGTGTTCTTCCTTTTACTCCCAATAGGCCAAAGTGCCACTGTTTAAACATTGTTACTTACCAGTCACCTTCAGGTGAACATACACCACTTTCAGGCCCAGGGGGTTTTCAGCCTTGCAGAGGTAATACCCTTGGTCTGCGCTGGTGGAGCAATTCTGGATGACAAAGGTGGAGACCCTTCCCTTTTGGCTGATGAGAAACCTCCCACCTGACCGGATCTCTGTCTCCACCTCGGAGAGGTTGCGCAGCCAGGTGATCCTCGCAGGTGGATTGCCAGCTGTCAATTCGCAGGTCATCACCACTGATCTCCCCACAAAGCAGCTCTTCATTGGGTTGGACATGACCAAGGGGCTCTCTGAAGCAAGAAGAAAGCAAAGTTGACCTGGAAGGACAGGCATGGCAACTTGCAACCTGATGACAGAAAATGTGTGTTTATGGAGTGTTGGAATCCCATTCTGATTGGCATCACAAACACTGCTTGGCAACAGACTCCCTGCTTGGCGTCCTGAAGTTCTCAGGTTCAACCATCAGCATGTCCAGGAAGAGCTAAGAGAAATTCTGATGAAAAAGCTGGAGAGATTACACTTCTTAGGAGTAATTGGGAAACATTCCCGTGATGCTCGCATGATGCATTGACTATCATGCCCAGAATTTCACTGTCCCTTGGCCAAAGAACGGGGAATTGTAGCCCCAATGTACCTAGGACCAGTATAGGGTAGATGGTGATAATGACGATGATTAACTTTTTAGAGAAGTACAGGTAGTCCTCACTTAACTACCGTTCATTTAACAACAGTTTGAAGTTACAACAGCCTTGGAGAAAGTGCTTCATGGTCTGTACTCGCACTTATGACCATCACACACCCCACAATCACGTGATTGCAATTTGCAACTTTTTTTATGACATTCATTTAGGAAATCACATGGTTGTTAAGCAAATTCTGGCAAAAAAATCCATTAGGGAAGCTGGATTCGCTTAACGACCACGTGGTTTGCTTAATGACCATGTAATTTGCTTAATTACATCATAAAAATGGTCGTAAAATCGGGTCGGTCATGTGGTGACTTGCTTAATGACCACCCCTCTTAACAACCAATTCTCGGCTCCCTATTGTGGTCATCAAGTGAGGACTACCTGTATAGAAACAAACACAAATAGAAAATAAAAGAACAAAGCCCAAATGAGTAAACAAGGGACTTATTTCAAGTCAAGGAAATTATTGTTTTCTGGTATAAGTGAATTATGGATGAGTGGATATAGTATGTTGGTTTAAATGACTAAAAATCACTATTAAGCTTTAAGCAAGGATAAATGTGCTTGAGGGAGCCAGGCTGGTGTAGTGGTTAAAGATACCAGGCTAGAAACCAGGAGAATGAGACGCTAGTTCCACTTTAGGCCTGAAGCCAACTGGGTGAGTCGCTCACACTCAGCCCTAGGAAGAAAGTAATGGTAAACCATTTCTAAAAATCTTGCTAAGAAAACCGCAGGGACTTGTCCAGGCAAATGCCAGGAGTCAAGACCGACTCAAAGGCAAGGAGAACCAGTTTGGTGTAGTGGTTAAAGGCACTAGGCTAGAAACAGGGAGACGGTGAGTTCAAGTCCCGCCTTAGGCACAAAGCCAGCTGGGGGACCTTGGGCCAATCCCTCCCTCTCAGCCCTAGGAAGAAGAAGAAGGCCAGGGCAAACCACTTCCAAAAATCTTGCCAAGAAAACTGCAGGGACTTGCCCAGGCAGTCGCCAGGACCCAACGCTGACTCAAAGGCACACACAAAAAGGGTTCTTATGTTCTCTCCATGACCTTCTCACTGAAAACCCACCCCTTTCCCCTTGGTCCCGGCTACTCCCAAAGCTGGCAGCGAGGTTCAGTTAGAGTGGCACGGAGTGCACTGGTGGGAGACTTGAAAGAACAGGTTAGGGATAGATCGCCATGGAGAAAAATCTATCTAGGTGGTTGCTAGGAGCTGAAAACAAGCTGATGGCATATAAGCAGTCCATCAATCACTCCCTGAGCCAGAGAGGGAGGTTCTGAAAGCACAATAGATCTCTATGGGCCTCTTTCCCTTTCTGAAGGGCTGCGGTAGATGGGGTGACCATCTAGCATAACCCATTTCGGCCTCTCTTTTCCACCACAACAAACCTTTCCTGACGTTTCTGTCGCCACTGTGAAAACAGCGTCTTCTGGATCAGAGCAACAAGCCTCTAAGCAATCTTAGCCATTCCTTGTATCCAGAGCATGCAAATTGATTAAGAGAACCCACGGAGAAATCCCATCCAGGTCTTTAACTCAGTGTTTCTCAACCTTGGCGACTTGAAGATGTGTGGACTTCAACT